CCCCCTCGGTCGCTTCGCTCCCTCGCCTTGGCCCCCCCTGTTTCAAATTGCTGGCTACGCCACTGGATATATATATTATTTATCCCTCTATTTCCATGAGTGGAGATTATGGCCCAGATGCCTGTTTTCAGAAACAAAATCAGTCTTAACACTAGTCTTAAAATGACTATTGCGAGATTTTTGCTCAGAAAAACTAAATATAGCTGAATATAATCTCATCTGGCAGTGAAAATATCACTGATTACACCAACATTAAAAATACTAAGATTTTATGCAGTTATAGCATAGAAAAATGGATATGAACACATCGTAACAGCAATGCATTTTATCGCGTCACGACAATGCCTAATGGCAGAATTGGTAAACTTGTATTTGTGTCGGTGATTAATTGAAAACAAGTGCATGATTTTACAGAGCCATGTTTTGTCTATGGCAGATAAGCGGTGGCGCCACAAGCTAATCCACACTTCCGCCTAGTTCAAGATAACAGAAAACGAATGTTTACAAAACTAGTTCGAAACCAGTAGTTCAAAACTAGTAGTTCGAAACTGGCAGTTTTTGGTGAATACAAAGGTTCTAAGACATTTTATTGTTACTCTAGACAATTGCTGTTACTCAAGGAATAACGGTAGGTGTCATAAAAGTGGTGAAAACACTGGAAAATTCTCGCAATAATCGCTTTAACAGTTAATTTTTCTTGTAGACCATTGGCAGAAACATGGTAAGGTTAAGAGTCTCTCATACGCAGTGTTTAGAGGTCCCGTCTACGAGAAAGAAGTTAACGTGAAGACTAATGTTAAGACTCATTTTCTTTCCGACAACGGACCTCAGGTTGCACGATATAAAACGGGATTGTACGCACCTTGTGATGTCGTAGACAAGCAGAGCGCCTGCTGCTCCCCTGTAGTACGAACGTGTGATGGACCTGAACGACTCTTGACCGGCCTACGCAAATACCGGCAAACATATTTAATTAGCAAATTTAAATATATTTAATTAGCAAACATATTTAATTAGCAAAACGTCGGCTGGGCTAGTGTTAGGTAATATTTTGTATAACCTAACAAAACATGGCTAAGTTAATTGAGGAGTAGACTTTTTAAAGGTATTCTTGAAAGAGGTTGGGTTGCATAGAGGTGGTATGTAACCCTACCGCTTTCAGAAAAAGTGACAGGATATGATATGATTTACTTTACTACATGTGAGTAAGACAATTTATACACGTATATAATTAGTTATTAGTTTAGAATCACACCAGTAGACACAAACTGTATTAATCTAGTAATATAAACTCACGGTGTCCCATATCTGTAGTTTGATCTGCTTGCCATCAATAGTTATCATCCTAGCACCAAATTCTACCCCTGGTAAACAGATTTAGTTATTAGTTTTACATTTCACTTATGTTATTTTAAATAAGAAAATATGCAAATCTCCTGCTACAATAAATCCTGCTACGTGCAAAGATACCCTTGATTCGAATTTCATTTACAACAACCCATATACACCTATAAGGAAAACTATTATATCTTAAGAATACCCCATTAACTGCAGTCATTGAGTCAGCCTTTGGCAGCTATCACATTTTTCAAACACTATGCTAATAATTAATATGTTTTCACATTTACAGATGAATGATAAAACCTTCACTCAATCAGTATCACACATGAAGAAAATGGTCTTCTGACTAAATATACAAGAGTGCAGAACTTTGCATCTTTTAATATACTTTAACATGTGCTATGGAACTGCCAGAGATATAGTAACATAGCGTTGTCAACCTTGGAACTCGAACATCGGGCATTTTGGATGTGCACATCAGTATTTTTACGACAATAAAGACATGTGATTGACAGGAGATCTATGCATAAATGTACAGATGGCTATCACGGATTTGTAATAGATACCCCTTTGCAAACCTATGCATAATTCGTTAATTAGTTGTTCTAAATAATTATTTTCCGATACAATATAAACATCCAATTTTCAGTTAATGCATCCGAATGCAACAGCAACAATACCTATGGTAAGATCATGCACTGGCTGAAACCGCTTGTCTGTAAATTGTAGAAGCAGGCATGATTTCCCCACGCCTACAAAATAAATAAAAATAACAATTATCACAATCATTATGAAATCAAGATTTGCCATTGTAACTGTCATAATTTTGGTGGCCTTGTCACATGCAATGATGCAAGTGTACATTTTACATACATGTATGAATGAGATAAATAGCATGTATGTCCTTCGTCAATCTAGTAAATATCTTATTAGCAGGAAGGTCACTCATGTCTGCTATCATGTCAACAATTTGTACAGCCTCAAAAGGTCAAACTGGGCTATAAAATCTGCCTATGAATTACAGATTGATACAGAAAAAAGTTACTAATTATTTTGTGAACAACATTAGTAACACAGATGTCATACCAAGACCAGAGCTTTTCAGTTAACGAGATATTCACGCGTATACATCTTAAACCCTAAGGTCAGCTGATTGCCAATTTTGGTGTAACTGAGCTGGGTGCAAATAGCTGTGATTGCATTACTTTCATTCACTTCATCTCAGAAAACAGTGCATAACTCGGTAAATAAGCAGCACTCAGTAGCACTCGGAAGTTTTACTGAACAAGTGCCGCAGAGCGACAGCGCTCACCTGACGGCAGGTGATCTGATGCTAAACTCAGGGGCAAACGAATCAAGAGCACCCTCCCATCGCCGCGTTCGTTTTTATATAACTTCACATAAATGTTTATACTATATATGTTAATTCGGGTGGCACTCCGGCAGCCCATGTATATACCCTATGTTCTAACTCCGGCGCGTTTCCCAGCAACCGCCAGCGGATGGTAAAAAATTTAAATTGAATAAATTGCCCTCTAAAAAAGCTGTCTTGTCCGGCAGACAAGCCTACCTGACAGATTCTACTTGTCCTCCGTGGAAAATGGACAAGTACGAGACAAACGGACTAGCCCTTATTTTCAAACACTGTGATGGTATACAGGAGCCTTCTCGAAGAAATGTTCGTATGGTCGTTTATGAAAGTTGCACGAGATGGCACGTCGATTGGTAGCTGGAAGCTATCCTCGTAGCGTTAGTATGAGTAAAATCATTATGCAAGACAGAAAGGTAAGCATCGTGCCATATCTACCTAACACAAGCCCTACTAGGTGAAAATAGAGAGCTGCAATGCCTGTACCTAATTAACGCCAGGCCAAAAAACTCTACACGCCATATACTATCACCACCACAGTTGCACTGCGCAAAGTGAGGCCACTGGCAGGGACATAATTAAAGCTACATATAACATACTGACAGTACAGAAATGCCATAGAAATTATAACGATTTAAAGAGGGAGGCATAACTTCTTCAACGAAATTTAGCTTTTTGAAATTTCACTGTGACATTGTTAGCCTCATACATCCAGGCATGGTATGGTTATTTACTAGCTAAACCCAGCAGTCACAATTTTTCTAAACAGACAGTAGACAGCTAATAAAATACCTATGTTTAAACCACTCCTCTTGAGGTCAAAAGGTTTTTATCCGACACTTACTCCTTCGACCTCGTCAGTGGAAAGACAATTCTCATGGTCCATTTCAATTAAAGCCAATAAAAATGCATAGAGTCACACCGTGAAATTTCAAAAGTGTTTTCAAACTCCAACGACGCCGTCCGTCAGACCATGATTCCTCAGAAAATGTCTAAAATCCTGCCCTGTGGCCCCATTGACCTTTGACCTGTGACCTCCAATTTCGGCACAGTGTGGCTGTTTCCTACCATGATGCTATACACGACTATCACGAGCCTAGGTCGAGCCGTTTAGATTTGTGCCGCAATTCTGCCATTTCCTCCCTTACCTTAAGTTAAGGAGGGAATGTTTCCCCCTGTCTTTTACACGCTGTTGAACTTTGCACCTTTGAACCCCGCGCGTTCGACATCGCGCACACGTGTCGTTTTCGGATTACCCACGCCACGTCCCGAATATCGTGACCGCTGCACGATCGAGGCCGTTTAAGATATTGTGCCCAACTGTTGACGGCAACGGACGGAAGGACGCTCGCCGGACGGAGGACGATCATGGCGATTCTACAAGCTGCATCTGACTATGTCAGATGAGCTAATAATGTGAGCTGCTACATATATATATGTCGATAGTCGTAGCGCAGGGCTCGAATTAAGCGACGAGAAGAGCAAGGCAATTTTTTTAGGGCATGTGAGAAATCGCCTTGAATTTTCTCTAAAATAGAAGGGCACAGAGGCAATTTTAAAAGGCACCAAGGCAACTCTCAAAATTTGAGAAGAGCACCAAGGCACTTTTGTAAAATAAAGGAAAACTCATAACAAATTAGTTCATCAACATCGTCTTGTTTTTAATGTACAAAACAACATGCCCCCATGTAAGCTTACATCGTAACACCGACCCCTGTACCCCCCTCTGCTAATGGAAGTACAGTAACAAGAAATTTTACATGCCCGCTATCAGGAGCGAATAATTATCCGATGCTGTTATTATTCCCTTCTGCAACTATCGGTTTTTAGCTCATCATTGCAACTACAGCACGCACGCGCACGTGTTATGTTGATTCGACTAAAAACGAAACTAGGGCAGTAGATTAAAGGGCACCGACGGCAATTACACAAAAGGACAAGGCAGGTGACTGCCGTCGGTCGGGTTGGATTTTCAGGGGCAGTACGGCGATTGACAGGGGCACCGACGGCAATTGCCGTCGGTGCCGTCGGTTAATTCGAGCCCTGCCATAGCAATATTTACAAACTGAGCGAACTATACGTCTTGGTATGCCAAGAGCTTTTAGCGCGCGTTTGTTAGGTCATATCCACGGATCTCGATCCGATGGATTCGTTGATCTGACTGTTTGTTTGGTCGGATCACTTGATCTCGATCCACCGAACCCGATCCTGCTAGCGAGGCGGATTCGAATGGGATCTAGTATGGTGGCCCGCGCCACAGGCACAGCCAATCACAGCTTGTTCTTTGCTATGAACCATCCCGTGATAGGTCAGTGTAACGTGAAACGGTGAAAGTGAGTTTTGCGTTTGTTTGGTCGGATCAGGATCATCTGATCTCGATCAGATGAATTCGTCCCAAACAAACACGCCCATAAAGTGGGTACCCTCTTTCGGCGCAAATCCACTTTAGGCACCTTAGGCATCACGAAGTGATGCACAGATTTCTGTGTATCATCAACTGATGCACAGATTTCTGTGTATCATCAACTGATGCAAAAAACCCTAACCCTAACACACTCTCGTGTAATACCAAGATTATAGCTACTATTGACTTCTAGAGTTAGGGTTAGGGGTTTTTGCATCGCATTGCCTTGATATACGAATCTGTGCATCAGTTGATGATACACAGAAATCTGTGCATCACTTCGTGATACCTAGTGATGTCACGATCATCGATTATACTCGATCATCGGTTGAACAGTGGCTCGAACCAAGCGCTTGGTCATCAAAATCAATAATCGATTGCATCGGGAAAAAAAAAACTTGGAAAAGTGATGAGAATCAGAGATATCATCGCTACTATACAAGTTGTCTTTTATTAACATACATGTATTATACACACAGTAGTAAACAGTGCAAAACAAACAGTAAACAGGGCTAAACAAGCACATACATGCACACACGTACGTGCGCACGACGTTGCGCACACGCAGGCATTCAACACCCTGAGTAACCGATTGTAACCGATCATCGGTTACTTGGGTCCAACCGAAGATCGATTACGAAATTACAACTGATTGACAACACTAGTGATACCTAAGGTGCCTAAAGTGGATTTGCACCCCCTCTTTCTGCGTTTCTTGGAGCTATGATGCATATATCATGCGAGTGTACGTCAAGAAAGGTTAGACATCAAATATTATTCTATCAATAAAAGATGCGAAAAGGTACAATGAATTAGATGCACCTAATGCAGAGTCAGGATAACCTGACCTTATCATGAGACAATGAAGATTGAATGACAACAATATGTAAATTCAATATTGTTACTCACTTACTGCCTGTTGTTTTTACATCACACTGTCACAGTGATCACTGACAGTGACACTCGACAGTCGACAACACAAATACATCACGAAAAATTGATAATCCAATCATGTACAATACTGTATGTGGTTATTATATGATGCTGTATACCTGTATCCCCTATAATAATGTACTTGAAAAGGTATGCGTACGACATTTGGGGTAGATATCAATCACACTAGTAAAACTGGGTAACGTAGATTTGTTTTGCTGGCAAATGACGTTCCTCTGTTTGGGGCGGAGAAAACTAAAATACTTGTTCATTATTTGTCCATAAAACGTCATATAACTAATTAGCAAAACGTGTATATATATTTAAGCAACGTGGTTAAAATTAAATAATAAGTTTTTTTTCGTTTAATTCTGGCAAAAATCTATTATATTTTTCTTAAATATATAAATATTATGACGAATCATCGTCATCAGCAGACTCTGTTTCGTATATTGTTTAGCTATGGCGGTTATTCAAGTTTATTCACATGCCATCCAGCAAAAATATAAAGCTAGCGTTTGTTCCAAGGCTACCTTTTTTCAACTGTGTGTTTTTATATTAACTGTTGTACCCCCGTTAATATTTGCATATAAAAGTCAAGGTAATGTTGTAGTTGCGTTTGCTCTGCGTGCTAGATTGTGCAAGTTCAAGTCAACTGCTGGAGTGTGCACTGTGCAACAGTAGGCTAGGGCGCTCACGTGTCACCTCGGTTCACGTGCCCACACGGTTCATGAACCGAGCTCACCAATCTCTAACCGTGAACCGAGCTCACCAATCTCGAGATTGGTCAGTTCGGTTCGCCGTCTACCTCGTGTACTAACTCTAATATCTCGCGAACAGTTTGAGTTACATTTCTAAAATTCTAGACACATATAAACACATGTCTTAGCTATGATTTCTGTAATTTTTTAGTTTATTGAAGCACGTATTAGCCTATATGACGATACCGCGCGTACGTATATTTCTGGTAATTAATTACACTATTCGTGCTTCAATAAACTCAAAAATCACAGAAATCATAGCTAACACATGTGTTTATACCTCTGACGATACCGCGCGTAGCGAGATATTAGGTAACTCAAATCGTTCTGTGTCTAGAATTTTAGAAATTAACACATGTGTTTATAACAAAGCGCGCGCGCACACGCACACACGGCACGCGCCGCGATTAGTCAATCCGAACACAAAACTGTTTAACAACAACAATAAGCAGACAAGATCTCGTTCGGCTGGCGTGGTAACCAGGTGCGAAGTGCACCTGACGCGCGATGATCGATACCGCGCGTACGTATATTTCTGGTAATTAATTACACTATTCGTGCTTCAATAAACTCAAAAATCACAGAAATCATAGCGGTGTGTGTGT